GGAAGAAAGGATAAGAGCGAACACAGGCCCACAGTGGAACGGAGGTACTTAAGAACCAAACAAGTAGTCAAAGCTATCAACCACTAAATAGCATGACTTATTTTCTGAATGCCGTTTGGACTGAGCAAGTTTCTCTGCTGGTGACAGTTTACCCATTTTACCAATGGAGCAATGAAGACAGACATGTAATACTCTGACAAAGCAGGGTGAGATGTGCCCTCCTCCACAAAACTGCACGTGCCAAGTTTGCAACTCCAGGCCAGGTGAGCTGGACAGCTTTTGTACGGCTGTGACACCAGTGTGGGGAAACAGACTGCTCTAACACACCGCAGTGAGCCCAAGAGTTATGAGCAGTTGGGAAGGATGTCTGTGCAGCAAAGCCTTCCAAGCACCATACAAGTTTTATTCTTCAGATTATACTGTAATGAGACCCTAACTACGCAAAGTTAAATTTCCCATCATGTCACGTTTTCATCACATTAATTTCTCTCAGATCCCCAGCTCCTACAATGTGCCAAACAATCATGGCCCTTTTTTTGGTGTGTTTTATTATCTCCACGCTTCTCCTGTAATTTGTAACCCATTGCCAACTAACATTTGTAAACCCTCCCCACAAACACTAGACAGGAAGGGAGTAAACACAATATTTTATGCTCAGTTGAGCACAACTAGCCTGTTTTCACACTCAAAGACAGATGGGACATTTAAAGCATGCAAGTTGTAGGCACAAATCTGCATCACACTCTGGTCACCAACATGGAAATTCACTCCATTACCTACAACCAGCGAGGCAGATTGTCCTCTATAAAACATCATGTTAACACCACTCTTCAGGAAGAATGGCTGAGTATTTTCCAACAAAATAAAGGTTGTTGAAAAGATACTCAAATATTACTCTTTCTCCATTCATGGGACGTGAATAGACAGCATTAATGATCCAAGTCCACAACCACAGTTTCCCAAGTGGGAATTAACAGACTCTGGGATACCAGCAGGTGCAGTAATATGATTTTTTTTTTTTGTATCAGGTTTCTTTAAAATTAAAATAAAACTATTCATAATTCATCTCCCCTCTACCAGGTACTGAAGCACCTTCATTTAAAGATAAAAATCATTCACTTGAATGTTAAAAGGACGTGTGGAACTAAAAGACATTTAATGATATTTGCACAAACACTTTCCAGCAGTCATTCTAATTCTAATTTTAATTATCCAGTGGATGAACCCTGCCTGTGAACAAGTCAAATGGTGTTTTGCAGTCAGTCCCCGACTCTGTGGACTGTGTCTCCTAGTTCAAACTTGCTCTGCAGTGTTTGCACTAATATTTTTTTTGATTTGCACCCTAGCCGTACAGCCCCTCAATTTTTAACTCTGTTTTTGATTTCTAAATGCTTTTTGTTCCTATCTATACAATCAAACACGGTGCATACAAAATATAATGTGGGATATAAATATGTGAAAATAAAATTTGGGAAAGTTGCAAGCAATTTTTCTAGCAAAAAGTACACGTTCAAAGAGACATAAATAAAGATTTTAATGAGCCTCACAGAAACAGGCACATGCCTACTCATTCCTCCAAACTCTCAGAGCTTTTGAATAAGACTTCTTTTATATTCATCTTAGTCCCTGAAGTTACACACGTCTTAAAAGTTGAAAAAGATAGACTTGTTAATAACACACAAATGTTCATAGACATAACATCTTTACAGATATCCTCTGTGAGCAGATCAAGCCACTCTCCATATGTATTTAAACGTAGTGGAAGGCTGGAGTTTTTAAGTTGTCAGATCTGTGCCTGGGTAAGAGGGGCTCTATTTTCACTCTTCGAGCGGCGAGAGATTAGCAGCTTGAAATCACTTTGACAGTTTCACTTACTCTGCTGCATACCGCAGGGAATTTTAATTCCAACCTGTGAAATTGTAATTGCTTCTCAAGAAGAGCGGAGGGATTCTGGGTAATGGCCACAGCCAAGCTCAGTGTCAGAATTGCCAGTTGCTGCCACTTCAGATATTACTTGCTGTTATTCAAAAATCACTCCAGCTTTCCATATGGAAGTTGAACTGCGGAGTGAAACTAGATTAACAGAAGCTGTCAGATGTTCAGAGATGTGCAAGGATCGATGAGACAGAGGTGAATGCACTCTTCTCAAAAGGTACCTTCTTCTCCTTCTTTCTCTTGCTTTATAGAACTACCTTTACACAAACCCCTTCTTCTATTTCATATTCTTTTTCTTAGCCTTCTTTTTAATAGAAAGCTACAATGAAAAGGTTAAATGACAAAGCACTCCAGCATACAATGCACAAGTATAAAATAAAGTGTGTACTTAATGTTGTTCACAAGAGATTTAAGATGTCTTTGCTATTCAGGGTTCTGTGGTTTTCAAGATTCCTCACTTGAAACTGCCAAAGAGAACTCAGAGCTACCACAGACATTTAAGAAAAATAGTTGAGGTTTTCTTGGTACCAAATGGAAATTATATTCTTTTTTGCTTTGAAAAAAAAAAGACACTGAATGTAGATTGCCTACTAGCAGACACATTCTCTAGTGATGAGTGTGTTCAGCATGTGAAAACGTGGGATCAATTGACTGTGGGGAAACTTCTCCTGCAATGACCTCGATCAGTTGGAGTGCAGTAGATTTCTCACCCACACTGATGGTCTGTAAAGAAAGAATCCTTGGTGGAAGTAGGCCTCAAACATAATGCCAATGGAAAAATGAAAAAATGCTGCCTGTCATGGCAGTTAGAAGCATTCAGGGAGCCAAATAGGGTCAAAAATCACAGATCAAATACGTTCAGGTCAACTTGTCCCATGAAGCAGATACACTTCTGCAGTTCCCTCTACGCTCACTCAGGCTTCCCAACCTGCACCAGTAGCCCCAGGCGGCAATGAAGTCTTGGCTTGGCCTGAAGGTCCAGGTGAGCTATTTCATCAGCACTAATTTGTTCAGCTCAGAGGCTTTGAAAGCTTTAATTGCACATAAATGGAAAAAAACCCAACCAAACAAACACACTCCTGCTCTACAACAGAAAGTGTCAAAACTCCCTCTCAAAAATCTAAAGGAAGATAACAAAATACTCAATAAACAACACTTCCTACTTGTCAGATTAAGATAGTTTGTGAATATACTGCATCTGCAGGCAATTGTAGGCGATGTCATTTACAAAGTCTTCTTTGGCCTCTTTCAGTATACTGCACTTTTTCTAAGGAAATAAGCTGGTCCCATTAAAGTACACAATGCACAGTATCTAAATCACAAGCTCTGTAAATCTCTGTAATAGCTGATGCAATGAATCTGTAATTGCTATGATTAGATAAGCTAGAGTAGCTGACAGAGAGAATGCTAGAGGCATAGAACATATCTGCATAGTTTATTCCCATCACATGCAAAAATTTGGCTCAGACATAATGATTTTGTCAATCCGTAGTTTTCCTGAGAATCTTGCAATCTGTGGTTCTTTCCTGAAAATTTCAACTCCCTGAGTCAAGCTCATCTTCTTTTTGTAAGAATTTCTCAGATTTGTTAAAAATGTAAATTACTGATTGTTACATATTCCCGATCGTAAAGAAAAGCATGGAAAAACCCCAAACCAAACCGAGGCAAATAAAGGGCGCGGTTTGGTTTGTATTTTTTAAAATCTCATGAAATTTGAGTCTTGGCTCACGACCTTCAGTGGTAGCAATAAGAAGTATAATATTTGAGTCATCACATACCTGATTTCCTGAAGACAGTTACGTCTGTTGTTATAATTTACAGGCTGTACCGAAAGCATCATGGTGGAACTTCCCGATTCACTGCCTGCAACCATTATGCACGCCCAGCTTATAAAGCACAAAGCATTCTTACTAGTGGACTATTCATCTGCATTGTAGAGACAGTGCACTGGTTAATTTTCTTCATTGCCACTGGTGTGGGGCTGTGTTTTAGATTTGCTAACACAGGGACGTTTGGGCTGTTCCCGAGCAGCGCTTGCACGGAGTCAAGGCCCTTTCTGCTTCTCCCGCTGCCCCGCCAGCGAGGAGGATGAGGATGGGCAAGGAGCTGGGAGGGGACACAGCCAGGACAGCTGACCCCCAACTGACCAAAGGGATATTCCAGACGATATGGCGTCATGCTCACCAATAAAAACTTAAGGGGAAAAAAGAAGGAGAGGGCACATTTGGAGTGATGGCGTTTCTCTTCCTGAGTCACTGTTATGTGTGACGGAGCCCTGCTTTCCTGGGAATGGTTGCCCACCTGCCTCCCAAAGTGCTGACTGAACTCCTTGGTTTGCTTTGCTTGCCTGTGCAGCTTTTACTTTACCTATTTAAGTGTCTTTATCTCAACCCATAAGTTTTATCAATTTTCCTCTTCTGATTCTTGCCCCAACCCCACAGGGAGAGGAGTAAGTGGGTGGCTCTGTTTTAGCTGCCTATTGGGGTTAAATCACATCAGCCATGTAGGCAGCTCCACTCCACCTGGGTACCACACGAACATCCCAAAAGCAAAAAAACCCTAAACCTTAGAGTTCCTGTTCTTAATATCTTAAACAGCTTTTGCAAGTAGAAGTTTGGATGAAGATTCAGAAAGGTGACAAGGCACGAACAGATGAACAATATCAGGCAGTTAGCTGCTGGAAGAACTGGGCACAGAGTCCAGCCCCTGACTGACCAGCACACTCTCAAGATGCATGGAGATCCTGTCATGACAAAAATGGCTTGAAGAAAGTAATTAGAAATTTCCAGCGTGCAACCCCCCCACTAACACAGCAATAGTGTCATATGCACAGCAGGATCCAATGCACAGCTCATAGAGATTCACATGTCCTTCTCTGAGCATTGTATTAAATCTATAGACTGTATTAAATCCATCTTCTATTAGAACTCCACATATTCCCATTCAATTATAAAACCCCAATACCTTTAAAACTATTGCTATGTAAAAATAATTCTTATTGTATTCACTGTGAAGTTGTGAGAGGCAAGATGGCAGGCAAAATTCTTTCAGACATGACAGCAAAATAAATAGCAACAAATGACAAACTTTAATGGTTTTGCAGTGTTTGATTCTCATGTAAAAAGACACATATCAAACCATCACACTGCATTATGCAAAATCTTTAGGAAAGCTTTAAATATTCTGACCATAAAAGATTACCAATATCACTCAATGGAAAGATTTCTTATAAACTTCATGCAATTTGACCTGATACAGCAGTTATGAAAAGAGTATGCAATGCAAACATTGCATCATTTTAGAAAAAAAAGAAAAGGGAAGATGCAACAAACTGTTCTGCCAAACAAGGATCTCAGGTTTTGGCAAGATAGGTCTCCCCACAGCTTAATATCATTTTCTCCTTTGAGTGACAGGAAAGGCATAGTGGGTACGAATTATTGCCCAATTTATATTAAAAAAAAAAAAAGGAAAATATTTGTTGATAAAAGTGTTTCCTTTGAAGATTTTAAACAGCAGTTTTATTGTTTTCATAAAAGCCTCATTCAGTTCACAGTTCTGTTTTCATTCCACCGTAGTAAAACATAACAAGAACTGCCAGTAAAGCCAGGCTGGCAGACAGGATCTTCAGTCCACCTCCTTGTTGCCATGGGAGCCGCAAAGCCATCCACGAGCTGAGAGGTGTTTTCACTGGGATCTCAGCAGAAGGGTGTGCTTTCCAGTTTGTGCCGTTCTGTGGTGCACATCTGAACTCCTGTGAAGAAATGCACATATTAAAATTGAAACCGTCTGCTGATTGTACATACCGAACACAATATCGTCTTTAAACTGAGGTTCGAATTAATATACCTTTTCAAGACAAATAACAGTTCAACCTGCACTGCATCATCATCAGGCCACCAATTTTTCATATAGAAATCTTATCAATGCCATATAAAATAGATATTTCTAATGAAATTAACCACCAAACAAATTAAGCTGTTAAAAATAAATCTCCAGACCCCAATATCATCAAAGAGAGTTGTTTGACTATTACTTTTTTTTTTTTGGTTTGCGTTATCTTACTACTTTCCCATTTTTGGCTTCTTCAAAAGAAATGTCTAACCAGTGATAAAGGGGACCAAAACACTACAATCCTTTGCACAGCAGGGCTCTTCTAAAGTCAATCATCGTCTCCTGGTGTGCCAGCTCAGTGGTGCTTGAAAATCCTCCCACAGGGCTTTTCCTTTCCCCTGACCCTCAGGAGTGCTAAAACACTCACCTTCTCATTCAGCATATTGCATCTGAGTTCCCTGCTGTGCCTGCCATTACCGTTCCCAACACGACTGCAAGCACCAAGATCCCCAAGAATATGAGGTCTTTTGACTGCAGCACGTTACAGATAGTGAGTCACTATTTCAGCAGAAAATCCAAGTGAAAACAATAAAAAGCTCTTCCCTCTTGCCACCTTGTTCAGTTCAGCATGCTAGCACAGTAGATACTCGAAAGTAAAAGCATCCATTGCAACTGTAGTCTGATGACATTTGCAAGAGGTTTAAGTGGGAAAGGTGTAATTAAACAAAGGTGTAATGATGTTGCATCATAAGGCTCGGTGTTTCTGTTAATAATTTTTGTTTCCTTCCCTCTATTTCAATAATCTCTCAGGAATTCAACTGAGTTCAGCTGGATTTCTAATTGGCTTGAAATTTTCCTGTTAAAAAAGACTTTTTATTCCCCCTCCTCCCCGCTTCACATTTCATATAAAACAAGTCAGGGACCCAGAAAGTACCTATCTGGATAATCTTGTATTTCCAAGCAGCTGAAACAGGTCCACATGAAAATACAGACCAGATGCCTGCTCCCTCTTTTACCAAACATATTTCTGGGCAAACTCAAAGAAATATCAAAGCTCCAAGAAAGGTGCCTGCCCACAAAAGTGTGACGCACAATTCAAACTGTCTGTTACTGCCTCCTGTTTTCCATTTCTGCAATCAGCTCCAATATAATAATTGTAGAAGGAAAATAATGATTACTACTAGTTAGGTAAGTAAGCATCAAAGGGACAAACGACAGCCTGGGGTAAGTGCTATTCTGAGTTACGGCTGAATTAGATCTCAATTCACATAGACAAAGGGTTACTGATCAAGTGAACATTGAAATGAGGATGACTTCTCATACATACTGCACCTAGAACACCATCAACTGGGTAAACAGAGGAAAGGCAATAGGTAAGCAAATTGGGGTGTAGCAGTTCTCTGCAGTGTGAGGCACGGAAGGAACAATACTCCAGGACTTCAGTCTATATTGTGACAAACATGTTGCCTTCATAAAAAAACAGGAAGCTGCTTCATACTGTTATTAATTACAATCAGTTTCTAAGACATCTGAAATTTTAGTACCTGGCCACAGCCATCTTATCCTCCCAAATCAAAGCTGATTGAACTCTGCCTGCAGAGTAAAATTGAAAATGTACAGGATTCTTTATAAATGAATTCCTTTGCAATGTATTCTTTCTAGACATTTATAAAGCCTTTCTTCTCTTTGCAAGTCTCACAAATCTCTACTAATCTACAGAGCATAAATTATGGTAATGACCAGCTTTTACCTGTATTGTTGGTACATTAACACTAAGGCTAAAGTGATTTAAAAGAATGAATAAGGTTGTAAAAATATCACTATAACTAAAGCCTGATTTCTTCTGATATTTATTTTTCACTGATTCGTGACTTAAAATTTGCCTGACTACAATCAGACTACCAACTCCTAATTAAATATTTCTCCACTGCATGATAAAAGCCCTGAATATTTAGTTGCACAGGACTAGATGCTATTCCTTAGCAAACAGATAAAAACGGCCAGTACTTCATAAATTACGTCATTTTCTCCTCAATGTGCAGCTTCAGTTCCTACCTCCCTGTATCTGCGAGACTAGGGATGGCCAGCAAAATGCCCCAAACACAGGTTACAAGTTGTAAAATGTTTTGAGAGATTTTTTTTTTTTATTATTTTTCCCCTTTGTTTTCTTATGCCTCTACTGCAACATGCAATGCATATGCATTGGGTAGTGCTGCCCTACTGCTTACAGGACAGAATGGTAAAACAGATTTTAACAAGGTTTAAAAAGTTCCAGTAGTGGTGAACACCACTGGCCCTATGACCAGTTGTCCAAGTAGCATTTCATCTAAGTCAGCCAGGAAACCTGTGAGACCAATTTTTTCTTTACTTTATCATATTTGCCATGAATGAGATGATCATACTGATACACTAAACCCCATCTTTTATTTTCTTTCCGTAGATGAGATTTTATCTCACAGTATTTAATTAATATCGAAACCTAACTTGGTTAGAGGTACAATTCTCACAATTTCACTATGCTTTTGTTTTCTTTTGTTTCGTTTTTATTCGATTTCTATTTCAAACCACTCAAAACTTTAGTTTTTCACAGTGTCTCAGCTTGTATATGAGATTATCAAAAAATTTAAACCAGAAGCTTTTCTTTCAATGGATGCACACATGAAATACTACCCCTATTATCTTGCTAATCTGATTTCTTTACAAATTTTCTCATGGATTAAACTGTTGAAAACTGAAGTGACTCTTTTCTCAAAGATGCCCTTCACAGCTTACCACTTAAAGCACTACTGCATTTCTGTTTGATAATGCACATCTTCAGATGATCCCGCCAAATACTCTCTGACAGGAAAAGTAAAGAATGCGTTGATCTGATCTGTATTTTCTAAAAACTATTCGCTAGAATGGTCCAAAATTCTGCCTTGCAACACTGACACATGGGTAATACCACTGGCTCCCCTGAAAATTTCCCTCCTTATTGTCACAGAACATGTCTTTGTAAAAACAAGGGTACATCTGGTTCCCTGCAAACGAAGGGCTCCCTTAGAAAGTGGCAGTCTTTTGTCCCCCTCCCGAGATTCACACAAGAGCATTTAAAACCAGGATAATCACTCAGAGACACCTGCAGGTGGATGCCTCTTCCTAATAGTCTGCTGTGCAGCTCTGCAGGACGTGGCACAAAACTCTCAGTGGGAAGAGGAATCTGCTAAGCTGACCATGTTCATGCACTCTCATACTCCGAAATGAGGGCTGAGTGGCCCTCGCTGCGGTCTGGACAAGAGTGAAGGGCCTGCCAAAAATACAAGCAGTTCTTCCTAACACACAAGTATCATAAAACCAGACGCATTGGTGAAAAACACTACATATATAATCTTATGTGGGCAAAAGGGCTTCTGCAGGCTCTGTCTGAGGAACTAGTTTTCAGGTGAAGTATACAGTAGCGTAACATTGCACACACAGAGAAGGAGGGGAAAGGAGGAAGCTACAGAAAATAAAACTTAAATTAAGCCTTCTAGGGTAGACAAGGCAAATTACAAGAGATTATCTGGGTTATCATGTGACCTTCAGAGTTTGCAGCACTGTAGAGCTTTATTCTGAGATCCTCCCATACTTGTTGCTTTCCCTAAAGCTTTCCATATACCGTGCCTTGAAGAGCTATCCAAGTCACCTGCAGAAAAAGAAACTTTCATGTTTTGGGAGGACGGTAGTTTTCTACAGAGAACCAAGTTTATTAGAACTCTTTCATGAACCTTTGGTGTAAAAAACCTGGGTTGAGGCTAAGAACTCATTTTTTGAACTAATATTTTTACACTGGTCCACTCCACATGCTCTCACTTCATAGAAGTATTAATGCTGAACAGCCCTTACTTGTACCTCTAGATAAAATATTTAGAGTGCATTAGCTTTTCAAGGAAATCTTTACATCACTCCTGTTATATATTCTGAACTGATACAGCTGTGATATTTACCATACACGATCGTTACTCAGAGCGCAACAGTTTTTTAAGCTGAGCTCAGAAATCACACTTTTGTAGCTGCAAGACTTAGGAAGATTATCATAATGAGTCAGTTCAGTGGAATTTAGAAGTAAATTCAAAGCCTCTTTTAACCAAAAATGACTTGGAGGAAACCCTAAGGTAAAGAAATTCCAAAAATATGTGTTTGTGCTAGTTTCAGTCTAGATAGGCCATAAAATCTTCGGTAGACTTATTGAGAAGGAACATTGCTCTCACTAAAAAGGACCACTGAAAAGGAAGGAAAAGGTACTCTTAAGATTTCACACCGTAGACTATTAATCAAAATAAGGGGAGGAAGGGAAATCATGAAACTGAAACGCAAAGACAGACACTTTGAGCTAAGCATCTTGCATTTCCATGGAGGCAGCCTTTCATCTTGTTTTGGCAGTCACAAAGTAAACACAAGACTTTGCTAATAAGGTATAATATAAATTATTAAACTTCTAGTGTATGATCAAATGCATTTCAGATTATTTTTTGAATAATTCTGCCTTGACGACTGCCAGGAGTAATAAATTTTGTGTACTCTTCCACAGACCCATTGATTGCTGTCTTTCTGAAACTCCAGTCCCAGAACTAAACCACCGTGCATGAAAGAAATACAGAATCACATCAAAACCTAAGATTTGGCATCTGTCGATCACAGGCTAGGTTTTTGTAAGATCTCACTTCATGTTAGTCAACAAAGACATGAGAGAAACTCTTTAGCTCTGAGCTGAGGTTTTAATAGATTCAAAACATTTCTTACATGTAAATTTCGTTTATGGCTCAGGGGCACTGTTAGAGCTTGAAGTGTTAGCTAACTGCTGAGAAAAACTCCTTTAAGATAAATTAAACTTCTGAATTTTTTAGCCCAACCAAGTACATTACACACTTGTACTACTGGCTTTAAAAATATGGACTTTTA